TTCACGTGATACCCGGTTCACTTTTTACTTAAAAAATGACACCCTTGTGTTTTAAGCTTTACTAATAAAAACAACCGAATATTACCTCCTCCAACAGCAGAATCTCGAAGTGACAGCTCTATAGCTTTCTGAAGAGAAGCCCCATCCACGGCAGAGAGGTAAGACATGTCCTGGGGCGCCTGCACCCCATGTGCTTGGTCTCTGTAAGAGCTGGTCGAACTGCTGGATGAGCTTGATTGTCGGCTTCTCTGATTGGTTTGTGTACTACGTTGCATCAGTGACAAATGTATCGCTCGCATCACATCAACATCTATTTCGTCTTCAGTCTCCGCTGGTTTGCTTCGTCGCTGGCGCCCTTAACAAAAAGATTCCACCATTATTTTGTTGCTTTTTTTGCTTTAAAAATTTTTTTTTAGACATAACTTTCAGTGTTAAGGGCTTTATCGTACAGACTTGTAACAAATGACCTTGGTTATCCGCCCCCTTTTCTTTTGCGTTTTCCATCTTTTGCACCTTCATAGCCTGTGAGCGGGCCCTGATCATTATAGCTTGAGCACGAGTGTCTTTTCGCCGCAGGAAAGTATGAGGCCTTGCGAAGAGGTCTGCAAGGGGTCTGGCACTGACTTTTAGTGCCAGACTCCCGATAAACCTTTACCCGACTCGTCTCTAAAGTTCCCGGGGCGGAGAAACGCACGTCTTTCAGCGCTAAATATAATAACCAGGCCTTCACGCAGGCTAGCAAATGTAGTGCCAAGTTTATCTTTACTTGTCTCGAGCTATGATACATGAACAAGAACCATTTCGCTACATAGATATCTTTCCTTCCAACCATTTTCTTTCACTTCTCTATACTTCCACAAGAAGGGTTTCGCTATCAAGAACTTTGTCGTTCAGAGCTATGATGCATGAATAAGACCACTTTGTTACATACTTCTTCTCCTTCCCGCCCCTTTTTCTTTCGTTTTTCCATATTTGCACAAGTAACAAGAGGAAAGGTTAAATCTCTTGTGAATCGCCTCACAGGTTACTTTTTCCTTGGCAGCGGCTTGTTCTTCAAAGACATCTTCACTAAGTGGGCATGAATCAGTAGATCCAAACGCTGCCAGCCGAGTCAAACGTTCCTTGATGATGGAGTGTTCAATTGCGCTGCGAACTTCGTCATAATTGTCTTCATCTTCGTCAGACTATAAAACACAAAAAATTAATTCTTCGATTGCAGTATGAATATTCGCTCTGTTAAGGAATTGGGAACTTGGCAGCTTCGGGCTGCTGTGGTTCTGCTCAGATACAGACAAAAATACCAGGCTACAACATATGATAACTGACGATTCAATGCTACTACTTGGAGACACTGAGAGTGTTGCTTGTCTTGCATGAGAGCTTTTAACCCTTTACACCCTAACATCAGTATTCATATTCTCCATACTGTTCTCTGTACATTTACTAAGGTGCTGACAAGGAGAATTTGTCGAACAATCAAGAGATTTTTTAGTTGGTGATCATTTCCTTTATTCTCACGACATCAATTTGTGATTCAGTAGTGATATCGTATGGAGAAATTAGATACTAGACACTCTTAAGGGTTAAAGGATTAAAACACAAAAATCCCAACCAGGCTGGCTCCACAACAGTTGCATGTGAGATAGAATGCCGTTAAAGAGGAACCAACCGGTCTTTCAATGAATAGGAAGATATTTAACTGTATATCGCGAGCTACTGATACATGATAACACTATACGTTCACTTATAGAATTTCAATGGTACCTCGCTATCTTGACTTCCTCTGGATGAAGAGAGGAACCTGCTATAAAATGAAAAAGCTATTAAGAAAAGGAATCCTTAGAAGCAAAAGTTACGAAACAGAACTTTGAAATAACATTACTAACAACACTTACCTTGGCATGAGGCTGTTAGGTTCCGGAAGTTCGTCGTCATCCGGTATAAGACCACGTGACAGAGCTAACAGGAAGTCATCTCGCTTCCGGTGTAACAGCTGTGTGGTTTGGATGATCTGAGCCCGCGGTGTCCTCAAGTAAGGTCGGGCTACCATCTGTGATAGTGTCTCTGTTGCTTCTTCAACTTCGGTCTGAAGGGAAAACATAGATGGTGTAACTGTTAGTGTTGAGAGCGATTTTTAATAAAACCTACATCAAAGTAAAAAAGGGGAATAACGGCTATGGAAAATTAACTAAACAAGCAAACTGCTGAAGCGCGGGAAAACGCGGGTGAACAAGTGACAATTTGTTTTAATTTTGCATTTTATTGGTTGATAGAGTGGCGCGAGTTTTCTGAACCAATCAGAGAGCAATGTACATCCCGGATTACTTTACACACGCAGTTAAAAATTGCTTTAACACTCGCCTGCATTGATTCAAAGATTAGTCTCTTGTCTTTGTTACCAGTGAGAAAGAAGCCATAAGCATATGAGGCTCGGAGAACTCTTCTTGAATTAAGCAGTCCGTGAACGGCGTCTTCGATGAATGATGTGTCAGCATTTTCCACTGAAGTTGCAGCTGAACACAGAAACAATTGTTCAGTACAAAGTACAGACTTACACTTAGATATAAAGAAAAAAAAGTCCGTTTTAGTGATATCGGTCGTATGGCTGATAGGAAAAGGGAGAACTGACCTGTTTCCATGGCAGCAACAGCCAGTGCAGACATTTTATCCTTAGCTGTACTTAATAAAGGTTCTTCAAACTATTACAGATAAAAAAAACGTTCGATCAACCTTTACTTCATGGACTGTTATTTCTTATCAGCAAAGACAATTTGCACTTTGCGCTTCTCCTTTTGTAAGTAATCGCAAGAAAAACGCATTTCCCCCTTCTACTGCCCACAATACCGAACGTTCCAATCATCTGTTAAGATAACTTCCTACTTTCTCTTTAAAAATCTTATGTTCTTACCTTGTAACTATTTTCATGGTTCTTAAAGCGTGAGTAATAATGTAGAAAACAATTTAACTGCGTGATTTCGTCATTCTTTGTGTTAATCTGGTAAAAAAAAAATCGGAAAAAAAATATCGAGCATAAAAAACGAACATAAAATTCCATAAAGTACACTTGAAAACGACTTTCCCCTCATTAGAAGAGTCCTTTTCAACTTTCAATCGGTCAGAGCTATTAATAGCACTGAGTTTCATTTAACCCTTTACACCCTAACATCAGTATGCATATTCTCCATACTGTTCTCTATACTTTTCCATAAGATGCTAACAAGGAGAATTTGTATAACCATCAAGAGCTTCTTAGATTGGTGATCATTTCTTTTATTCTCGTGACTATAATGTTTCATTCAGGGGAGATGATGTAAGGAGAAATTAGCTACTGGTCACTCTTAGGGGTCAAAGGTTTAAAAACATCATGCTGGTAGTTTGACCTTCACCCAGTGATGCTAACATTTTCAATTCCAAGGGGGATCCTAGTGCTTCATGCTTTGTGCATTGTTCCTGAGTGAGACACTTCACGCTCATAAAAGCTGCTCTTCACCCAGGAGTAGAAATAAGTATTAGTGAAATGTTAAGGAAGCCGCACAAAATACTGACATGGGGGGGAGGGGTAGGGAAAAATTGCATCGGACCAGCATACTATCCAGGGGAAGCAGAAACACTTTCAATCGCTTTATTTGATGGAATTCAAGCAGCTAATCGAGTCAGTTTCGTAAACAGGCTTCACCTTACCTCTGTTACTATCTTGGCTGACTCTGATTCAACTTTTTGAACAATCTCAAATCGATTACACCTGAAAAAAGAGGTTTAATCATAGCAATTACAATTTCCTTACATGTGGTTGGTGCACTAACTACTTTATTTTTCACTAATTATTTTGTAGAGTTGTAATCGGACCGTGTAATAGGACAGTTGCCTGTAATTGGACACCTGTAATTGGACAATTGAAGCAGCCAATCGTACTTAGTCCACTCAGCTAAATCCACCAATCACAGAATTCATCACAATAACCATGGAAACAACCAATTATCCTAAGAAACACTGGTAAATTTCCAAATGTAGGAATTTTCAACTTTAGATATTGTCTCCTGTGCAGACATTTGTCCTAGATGAATTTTTTTTTTTTGGAAATTGTATTGGTTATTGGTAACAGGACTTCGTGTCGTCCAACTCTGTCTATAATCATACTCGTGAATAACATTCCCGCTTCACAGTCTTCCAATTTTCTTATCATTTGTATGATTACAAACCGAATTGGACTCCACTCAGCCCAAATATAACAAAGGCTGTGAACGCGTGCGTAGCAAATTTGTGTACAGCTCTATGAAATCTCTCCTTACTAATAGTATTTTAGTCACAAAGGACAAGTATTCATGACAATTTCCAACTCAGTTCCACCAACCTAAAATATCCTCCTGTAGCAGAACTGTGTTTTTTCCACTGTTCCAGACAAACCCAGCAGAACTCGTGTTTACACTGTAAAAGAAACATTAAAAAGATAATGATAATAAATGTCTGTAGAATTTCATTACGGGACTTCTTCATGTGCAGGAATACACTCACCAAAATTCACACGTAGTAAGTCACTCTTTGATATATATATATTTTTTTGTTTTACGAAGTATTGTACAAACGAGAACCGCAAGTATTATAAAGAAGTTTTACAACTGTACAAGTGTGTATCTTTCGTGCCGTTCCTTCTAAAACTCATAACAAGTAAATAAACTTTATAAACACCTTTGTACACTTCATGTGGTTGCATCCCTCATTTTTCTGAATGGGTGATCTGAGGAGTAAAATCTCCCATTAGATTCATTCGAGAAACATTAACAATCGTTACAAATTCTTAATTTCAACGCGCTTTTGTGGTACTGTGTAGAATGTGAGACGGTCGATCAAGCTTTTCCATCAAATCTAATCCTACCAATCGCTAATGTTTTGCCGTAATATGTAATATGTACAACCTCCCGGTTTTTGTCTTTCTAGTTTTGAAAAAAAGATTTTAAGAGTTTCTTTGAGGGTTAAGTCAGTTTATTCACTATAACAGATCAGTAATAAGCTGTATGTTCTATTGCGTTAACACTTCACCTATGGTGAGTGTCGTAAAACCAAGACCGAAGTAATCACAACGGCCAATCAAAAAAAAGAAAAATACCTTTAAGAACCAATGAGAACTCACAACAAAAACAAACAAACTGCTTAAAGCGCGGGAAAAAGCGGGCGACCAAGTCGTGATTGGTTAAAGTTTTGCATCTGATTGGTTAAGAGAGAGGCGCGAGTTTTCTGAACCAATCATTGAGCGAAGTATAGCAAAATCAAAACAATCCCAGATTTCTCTCGACACTTAATTGAAAATTCCTCTAAACAAAAAGTTATTGATTCCAATTTTCATTTTTTGGCAGAGAGCCAAGGCAACATATTAAGAGAGGAAGCGTATCCTATTTCTATACACTGGATCTCTAAGACTGCTTGATAATGAAGAACTTAGGCTGATCTATTTTCAGATACGCAAGTAGTGACGTTGGACCTTGGCATAATTGGTAGATCTTACAGTTTTTATACCATTAACACGTTCTTTTAGTGTTGTTGTGGGATGGATTACAGGCATGATTGCATGTAACACAAACCAGGTACTCAGTTATGCAAAACGTAACGCACACATATATGTCTTGTATAGATCGACCACTTACTTGCAGTTGGGGCAGGATTTCGAGTTTGTCACGAGCCAAAGAGTGTTGGCGACTGCTTCTGTTTCAGGACACTCAGAAATGTCTGTCAAAAGAGAGGAAGATTTAGAGCTTTTGATTTTCAAACCTTCAACAAGACTTTGAAAATAAAAACTTGGAAGACCGGCAATCCTTTTGGTATTAAGGCGGAGGAGGGGGACGTAAGTTTCTACAGAAACTGTGGTGCTGCGTCGGTGGGGCATCACAATATATAAAATATATACAATGTAATATATATATAATATAACACGTCAGCAGTTCACCAGTACGTATTTGTTCACTTGGGTGGATTCAGGTAAACTTAACAAAATGCGAGGGGGAGGGGGTGTGGGTGGATGGGTGGTGGTAACCAGCCATAGGCTAAGGTATGAGATGCAGTGGCCTGACGGCCAGTGCAATGAGAGTAGTGTCTTGTCCAAGAGCACAACACATTGACCCGGCAAGGTCAATGTGCCAGACCTCTCGGCCCAGGACCTCTCAACCCGGAGTTCAGAGCACTGACCATCAGGGGGGAGTGGTAATACTCCCAGTTGCTTCATGCTACTTGGAAACCAGGATAAGTTCTGCTTGGGTGGGTCAATAGGCTTCAGTACGGACGTAACCTTACCAATAGCATACTATAAAATAAGCTACTGGGTCTACCATGTACAGG